TTGCGAAACCGGGCGTGTGGAGCTCCCCTTTAACGGAAACCCCTCCGGACAGCTAGAATTTATAAGGGAGGGTGGAGAGGCTTTAGAACATAAACCCACCTCCTCCCCTTGCCCCCTCTGCCTCTTTGTGTCTCCTCTTTCTTTCTCTCTCTCCACCACGCTGGTCTCTATCTATTCGTATTTTTCATTCCTTCGCTAGACCCCGGCTCTTCTCTTTACGTCTCTTTATTTTCCGATTTCAGGTATTTCTTCACCCCCTACGTCTGTTTTTATCCAACCCCCTCTCTAGGCTGAAACTCTCTACCCAGAGATCCCCTCCTCTCTTTCACCTCTTCCCGCTGGTCGTTTCTTTCTCTTCGTTTTCCCGTTCTCTCTTGCCGTTAAGCATTTCCCTCCCTCTTCATTCCTCCCAGGGGCTGATACTCTGTTCCAACCCCCTCTCGGTACCTTTTTTACCCTTTGAATCTATCCCCCCCCCCTCCTCCTCCTCGATGTTCTTGTTGCGTTCTGTCCTCGCCCACATGTGTCCCTTTTTATTCGTGTCCCGTTTCGACCTCTCTCCTGGGCGACCAACCCACCCCCTCTCGACGTTTTCTTCTCGTTGCCCTCAAAGCGTCCTCGTCCTCTGCTCGCCGTTTTTCTCTTAAGCCAGGGACCGACACGTTCCCTTTAAGCCCCCAGTATCTCTCGTCGTCGTCTCTGCTCGTTTCCCACCCTTACGGCCGGCGCTCGTTCTCTCCTCCACGCGCGCGTTGATCCTGGGGCGGTCTCTCCCTCGTGGCGGCGGCGACGGGTTCTCGCAGCTTCGATCTAACTCCGGGCAGGGAGAGTTAAGGTACGTTTCCACGTGACAGTAAATCGTCACTTTTACCACCGACGAGATATAAGAAACTTTCATCTTTTCGAAGTTGGTGATCCACCTAAATTGTAGTATTAATACCTTGACCCTAGTGTGGACAATCGGGCATATGCCCGGGTACCCATTTCTATATTTCCTTTCGCAATTTTTTATTTTCTTGTCTAAATGTTGTACAATCATCTGTTTATCTAACCTGTTAGAATAGGATGTTTGGGGTGCTTCGATTGCTGAATACCTCTGAACATTTTGGTTGCCCACACAAGGATTAAAAAGCCTGTGATTTTAGTGATCTCTATGTTATAGGAATGGTGAATCTACGGTGGGCAGTGATACAGAAATGGTAATGGGGCAACGTTGCCCCAGAAAGTGGGCTGAAGAATCCGTTGCATGAAAGGTCTATTATTATACGACGTTGGTGCTTTTAACACTAACTTGTTATGACTTTTGTCGTCCTGGAAAACCAGATACCGCGACGACGAAAGTCTTGACTTTCACTGTCACACGTGGAAACGTACCTTTAAACGCCAGGGAACGAACGAGTGGGCAGGGATGGCGAGCGAAACATCTCCAACGGGGGCTGGCAGCGGCGGCAGGGTCGAAATCAATTCACCCGGCGAAATTAACGCGCGCCACTCGAGGGCCGTGCGCGCGATAGCTGCATCATCGTGAATAGTCGCGAGTGTATGGTCACGATCAGTGTTATCAGATTTTTGGCACCTGCTGATGACATGTCATTATGTTCGGTTTTGCCGATCGGCTTAATGGGGACGCACCTTAAGAACCGGGACTTCTACCGAAACGTAAAATACCGGTATTTTCGGTTTAACCTTCGCCCTATATAACCCTATGTAACCCCTACCCTTATAGAAACCGAAAAAATACCGGTATTTATTTCGGTTTTCGGTAATATATCGGTTTCAGTATAGCTTCGATGGCATAATATCGGTATCAAAATCATACCGGTTTAAGTCCATGCTTAAGGATTCGTACGAACCACCCAAAAACGTGTGCCGTTCATTTTAGCCTTCGTTATTTGCCCGAACCCCTTCTATCCGAACGATCGATATGCAGTCCATCTCTGTTAATGCCGCGGTTCCATTCGAAGAGCATTCCAAAGCCTTGCTTTTTTTTTTTCCTTTGATCGTTCCTCAGTCGGTTGCTCCTTCCCCCCACCCCACCGCCGTTCAATTTTGAATCTTCGTTACGAACCATTTTCGCGTAAGTATATAACACCGCGCACAACGAGGGTAATCGATCCTTCGTGGAGGGAGACGAGTCGAGAGGAACAATAGCGACTAAAAGATTCACGCCTTTTTTTCTTCCTCCCTTTCGCTCCTGCTGTTGGCCCGCCGAAATGGGAATTTGCAATTCTATCGGGTGAACGTCGAGAGCACCGCCGCGCCCCGTGGTACCCCGGGCCAGATCGATGCACCGGGATATCCGACCTTCCATCGCCCACGCGTCATCCCGCAAGAGTATTACCTACACGCGTCCGCTTCGACCCCGTTCGATTCAGAGACCGGAGAAAACGCGATTTGCCCTGTATTGTACCTTACAAGCTTTTCCTGGGGGTACACCGTTCGAAAATACTTTGAAAAATATTTGCGATTTTTCAGGTATCTATGAAAATGAACCTGTTCCTCTTAAAAATGAAGATATTTTCACAATTATTGTTCGAGGACCGGGTATTCTTCACGTTGAATTTTATTAAACGTGCCCGAAACGCATTGTGTCCCAGTATATCCTGTAAATGGAGTCTGTTTAGCAAATTTTTGTTCAAGCTAACATCGTCTGTTTTTGATTACACGCAGAATGAACCGGAAGTTCCGTGGAACCTGACTTCAACAGGGTTTTCGTCGAAGTCGGCCGTGGACTTTCGAGGGAAGTGTCCATGTTTGCGCCGAAAGTGGGATTCCGTGTAGCAGGAAATAGGTGGCGGAACGTGATATTTTCGTGATGTCTCGACCACGGTAACATTACGCGCCGGAAAGTTCCATGATGGTACCCCGTCCCCTCCCCAAAACAGTTCCTTCCGGGAACATCCGCTGATGGCTACCGACGTTATGCATTTCCTCACCAAACTGATACTACCCTATTGTGTCGTGCTTATGAATCATTGTCAGGCGAACGAAGCATTTATCTCTGTTGTACAGCATGCGTCTGACCTGAGCGTATCGCCTGAATCAAATTTTGTTTTCCGACTTTGGATTACTTCAACGGAATCCCTTCTGTATAGTGCCCCACGGTGTCGTCAGAAGCACTGGTACACTGACGACACTTTTATTTCGAGAAGAATGAGGGTCAATCTGACTTTTTGTTTAAAAAATTTTAAATCATTGTATCTTGTAGACGATGTCTAACAAGGGAACTCCAACCGTACCACTTCGATTTTATCAATCTTTTGTGGGATAATAGTGATCCATTCGGCGGAAACAAAAGGTAGGACATATAGTCCGATGATGTACGCGTGTATACCACGATACAATGTACAAACAAAGCAATATCCACACTACGTGTATATATATATATACATATGTAATTATATATATATACACACACATACACGTATAAGGTACAGAGAGAGAGAGAGGCACATAGAGATTCACACGAGATACGTAAAAAAGTACACAAATACACCTCTACTTTCGATTAAATCCGCAAGTTTATTCGTAAATTTCGCCCGCTCGATTGTAAATTTCGGTAGTGCGCGCTTTGTAAGATTGTAAGTGCTGTGCATATATTGTATATACAGGGTGAAGAAAGACAAGAAAAAAATAAGAGAGAGAGAGAGAGAGAGAGAGAGAGAGTACGACGACGAGCAACGTCTAGAGAACAAAATTATTTGTCCGATGGAATAATGTGTCTTATATATTACGGCAGAAATAAAAAACGAAGAAAATGGCGGGGAACCGATAATTCCCCGGGCGAAACTCAAAAGGGATCGGGTCCGCGAATCATAGGTGTGTTCCTCTTTATTAGATGGAGTAAAAGTGTCATAGTTTCGTAATTACCTGACAAGGGAGAGAAGAAAAGAAAAATACTAAAAAGATATAGATTACAGAGTCACGAGAGGTCTGCTTTGTCTTGTTATAATCAAATACTTTATATTATGTAGTACAGGTTGTCATTAAACGTGTGAACAAACCTATATCATTAAAATCTTTTTAATTACTAACAAATGCCGGGTCGTGTGTAATTGATCTTCGTTCGCTTTCCATTTCTCTCCACGATTTTAGTTTGTCGACCGACCATGGAAAACAATGGGGTAAGTGGCAATTTTGTATATTAAAAACAATATACATGTGCTGTTGTTGATTTAGAAAAGAAAAAACCGAAATCTTTCTGCAATATTTTTTATACATATATTGGCATAAAATTTTTGTCCTTTTTTTTTTACAGTGGTTTACAATGTTTAGAGCATGTATAATAGACACAGATTTTAGATGGTACATTTTGCTTTTTGGTACTCATGCATTAATATGCGGGCGTTGTATATACATGAGATTGACGCAATATCAACAGAATCCTATTCCAAGAAATTTTTGTCACGGATTAAACGGTGTTAATGCAACGACTGGAATGTGCCTTTGAAACTGTATGTTTGTCAGATTAAGTAAACAGATTCCAATGTCTGTAAGACATAATTTGTAGTTTGTGTATAACTTTTCAACGGAACAATAAATTCAACAAATAACTCATCTTTTTGACTAGATATAATAGATGTGGTTTGTCTGTATAATGAAATACAGTTTTTATATAATATGTTTTATGTTCTGATAAAAGAATAATCATTAAACCTAAATAAACAATGTAAAAGAATATATAAAAAACTTACTATTCGTACTAAAAGAACTTTTCCACAAAATAATACATAACAACACAAATTACTATATATTAAACATAAGCTCGTGCATCGATAAGCAAAAGAGAGATAACCAGGAGTATGTTATACCTAGACACTTCTAACTTAAAAAAATACGTTATTACTTAAGTTACTATGAAGTGTTATCTCTTTTGAGGTAAATATTTGATACTTATCTTTAAAAGAATGAAAATGTAATTCTTTTGTATATTCAATATACGACGTTAAAATTGATAATATTCGCGTACCACAAATTTTCTTAGATAATAATATGCCTGTCTTCGTATTTTAATGTGTACACGTGTTACTCCATTATTTTTACACAGTAAGTACAAGTGTGTCATCGGTCAAGTATACCTTTAGTTTTTAATTTTCCTTTGTTGGTTCTGCATTGTTAGCCTTGCTATTTCGTCACCGAGGGTATCAATATTATCCTAAAAATAAAGTATTAATCAGGACTAGACTTATGACATCAATTAATCTTCATCCTTGCCTTTAAAGTAATATTTTTAAATAATGCATCCTCGAGAACTGCTTGCAATTTTTGATTAATCTCTAATGATAACTCCAGAGTCATATTTTCATCTGAAACTCGTTGGTTGTAAACGGAGGCCATTATTCCTCCATGCCTCGCTAGTTCGGCCTATGATTTAAAAAAAAATTCTTAAATCGTAATAATTAGTCAATATAAAAATGTCGTATAAAATAAATTATTCCATCATAACTTAGTATATTAATCTTTATCAGTACACTTACTGCATTTCTCCTACTTTTGATATGCTTGTGTGTGTGTGTGTGAAGCAAAATGTTAGTGGAATTATTACCTTTTTTATTCCGAAGATATAATGTTCTCTGACATATTGTACAAAATATAATGAATACTCACCTTATATTTATCTCGCTCATTGCTACCCATGGCACCAGAATTTTCATGTAAAATATATGTTTGGATGATTTTCGTCTTCTTCTGTAGTTCCTCTACCAGAGTTCGACAATGTTCCTCGAAAAAATCTAATTTCTCAGCCTTTTTAGCACTATCTTCTTGTAGTTTTATAATACGGTCTATTAACGTTTGTCTACTAGGTTCCATAATTTGAACATGTTGGTCACCATTCATACTGTTATCAGATAAGGCACCATTTAATGTTTCTCCTAGAATAATAAGAATATAAATAAAAAAATAGCGAAGAGATGTGCGCCAATAAAAAGTTGTAATTTCAATTATTATACACGAAGAACCTCACCTGTGTTCAGTGAAATGTTCGATCCAGCCCTGGACGCAGCCCCCAGTGAATTGTAAGGCATAGACGATTCAAAAGCTTCGAGTTTCTTCCTACATTGTTGCAGCTCCCTTGTCATTTCCTTCGTACTTATTTGCTGTTTTCTCTTCAACACAGCATTCTCCCCTTGGCTATCCTCTAATTTCTGAGCAAAATTTTGCGCAAGTTGAGTTTGTTCGGCGAGATGCCTAGCTAAAATCTCACAGTCTTCGTTTCTTGTTTTCTGTTCCTTTGCAAGACTCTCCTCAAGAATGTGAACTTTTGCTATCAAACGTCTGATTTGTTCATGCAATGGCCCATGTTCCTCTTCCAATTGTTTCACCTTGGCTTCGATGGCTGTGAATTCAGACTGAAGACGCACATTTTTATCCGTTAATTTTTGTGTAAAATCTAACATTTCAGCTTCTTTCTGACGACACGCATACATGTCTGCTTGTAATTCCTCGTTGGCCGATCGCAACTGCTTGGTTTCCGCTTCCATCGACTGCAGGCACTGGTCTTTACTGAATGAAAAATAAAAAAGGAATTAGTAGTATAAAACGGAATTATGATTTCATAATTGTGATAACTCACTGTTGTAGTTGAATTTTCAATGTTTCGAACTCGGACACCTTACTACGCAGTTCTACAATTTCCTTTTGACGTTGATCCGATATGATCTTCAAATTACTCAAATTGCTCTCGTAATTCAAACGGTTTTTCTCAGCATTCTGTATCTTTAAACTGAGTGTATTATTTTCTTCAATCAAAACTTGTTGTCTGTGATTCAACGTCTCCACCTCTTTCTGCAATTGAAGTATCAACATTTCTTTATCTTCCGTAACATGCCTTTCTAATATTAGACGTGCTTGTTGTTCTTTCAATTGTTGATCCAGTGTGACAGCTTTGTTTTCTTCTGATCGTTGGAAGTTACGCATTGATTCTTGCGCCTCTTTACGGACTAGTTCACATTCCTCCTTCATTTCATTTATTCTGGTCTGAAAAGAAGGTAAATTAGTGACTGAAATTGTTATGTAACAACAGGCTCCTACCATTTGCAGGTATTATTACCGTGGCCTTGTCTAACTTCTGCTGAGTTTCCTTTTGCGTATCCATCTCTAACTTAAGTCTGTTCTGAGTCCATTTCAATTTTATGTCCCTCATGTTTACATCTTCTTTTAATTTCTCAACTTCTTTCTGGAGATCAGTCACTTCACGACATTTTCCATCTAAGATATTACATATTCTTGTTCGTTCGCCTTGAATTTCTCGTAACTTGTTTTGAAGCAACTCCTGTTGTTTTGTGCTCTCTTTTGCTTTGCGTTCTGCACACTCTCTCGCCCTAGTTATAATGCAATAAAAAATAAAACATATATGCTATATATATGTATACATATAAATCATCAGAAACAAAAAATCGGAATATTTGTATTGAATTCGAAAATAAAAAAATGCATAAGACACACACAAAAAATTGGTATACCTTTGTGTATCAATCAGTTGCTTTTCACTAACTACATACTTCATCACCATACTTTCTCTTTCTTTATTAGCACCACTATATTCTTTTTTAAGCGTCTCCTGTGCCGCTGATGATGCATGCAGTTCAAGTGTTAATCTATTTATTGTCTTCTTCAAAGTTTCAACTTGTAAAGCATGGATCTCTCCATTACTTTCTGTTTCTAACGTCCGATTCTTTTCTTCCAAATATTCAACCTTCTCTTGCAATTTTATACACTTCGTTTTGAAATCTGCATAATCTTTTAGCAAAGTAAGATATGCTGGATGTTTCAACAAACTCTGCTTGGAACTTTCGGAGTCGATACTATTGCCCTGATAGTCAGATACTCTGGAATTAATATATTCGTCGCAATTCCCATTTGCTTTCATACAGGTAGCAATTTCATTTGCTGTATTACTTTTATCATTAACAGAATATGGTTCTATTTGTTTTGAATTGCTCAGGCAAGAGTCGGAAGGATTATCATAATTCTTATCACTTGTTTCTGTGTTAACACATGTATTTTCATTTTGACTTGTTATCAAAGTCTTTTTACTTTCACAATTCATTGTACATTCTTTTCTGACACTCTCTGTATCCAGTTGACTTTTTAATGAATACGATATATCCGTTGTTTTTTCTATTGCACACGATTCGCCAGCATTTGTTGTTTCTGTTGGAGGAGATTTTGTACTACAAGATTCTTCTATATACTTCTTGTCGTTATAACTATTATCTATAGACTTCATCATCGAATTGTACTTCACAGATAAATGCTGTGGTAATAGTGCTTTCTCCATTATATTGGTTGACTTCTCTGTAATAAAGTTCAAAAAGTTACGACTCTTATTCAAGAACTGAGCATTCGATTGCATTATGTTAATTGGATTCGTTGGCAGTGAAATTTTAACCAACTTGCTATCATCAACAAGAGTCGGCCGAACTATGATGATTGAATAGATCTTTGTTCCTCTTTGTTATAGATTTTTTCATACTCTACATTTTTCAAAGTTTCTGTCCGATGATTACTACTGTCAGTTAATTTTTCATTTACAACAGAATTTTGAATAATATTTTCTTTTGAAGATATTGTTTGATCAGTGTCTATTTGTAGCTTAGTACTGAAAAGTGTTTCTTCTTCGTCATTGGATGCTGACTTTTGTTCCTTAAAATCAGCTGATATCATAGATTTTGGAGCATTATTAGAGACTACATCTGAAGATAAACATGAAAATGAATTAGATAATGCAATGTCATTGTAGGAAGCTGATTTTTGAAGAGACTTTTCATCTGGAAGGTCTGTGTCATTGATTAATGCTTCACATTGTAAAAACTTATTCTCTGATAAATTACTTAAGGAAGCAGAATTTTTAATAGTTGAGTTAATACTGTTATCTTCTATCAAAGACGGAGACTCTTTCTGATCATTGTTGTTTAATAATACTGATATTGTTTCGAATTGTGTGAGTTGCTCCTCAATTGGTTTCTTATCCTCGTGTATTACCGTATCTTGCTGATTCATGGAATCATTGCCTAAAAAAAGGAATAGAAAAATAAATAGAATTCAACTTATATTAATGCCTTGGTAACTACCTTAATGAATTTCTGTTATAGTTACTGGATAAGTTATAGTAAACTTATAAATTGTTTTGGGTGACCACGAAGGTATTCTTCTACAACTCTAATTCATTTCCATTAGCTTCATCATAAGAATCGATGTTCCTAAAATGGAATGTCATGTAAGGGCCTGAGCCCTGTCAATGCTCAATTTGAGATTTATTTATCCATCACTACATTACAAGGTATTAGCCTCAGAAAACTAATTTTATAAGTTCACTATATGTGATCTACCAACTATAAATATGTGTAATTACTAAATAGTGTTTGACTCGTACCTTTCCACAGTGAAACATCTGGGTTAACGCTAAAATCGGTCTGATCGAAATTTGCTGACAGGACTTCATCCTGACAGGACGATTCAGACTTTTCATCGTTCATCTCAGAAAATGTAAATGCGACTTGTTTTGGATCAGCTTGATCCTATTTTATAGCGTAATATATCCCAGTGGGAGTCATCAATGTTGGAAAAGTCCGCTGACTTGAGACAAATTTCGAATGACAATATTAGGCGGCATTCGTGAAAAATGAGATTGAAATCAGAGAAAATAACCTAAAATCGAGGTGACTACAGCTGTCATTATTGGTTGCTGTTTCGACCCGTTGCTACAAACATGATTGCATCTATTGCGTCTTCTGAAAACATAGAACGAGAATTCAGCTGACACTAGAGATGGCGTGATCTGCTACTTGTGAATGACTCGTGATTCGATCACGTTCGTTCCCAATCACGATGATTTTTCACAGTGATTCGTGATTTCCCGTGATCGTTTCTTATTGGTGAAGAAACCTAACAGTTCTTTACATGCGATACATAATTTGTATATTTCACATTAACGACATCAGAACAAAAATTAGGGTTATATCGTATAAAGTGAAGGAATAAGTAGAAACAATGAAGAATAATGAATAAATTAATGATTACAAATTATAATCTACATGTTACCTAGCAAATCATTTTTTAGAATTTCTTGTTTTTTCTACTGATTTTTACAAACACAGTAATATAATTCATCGTAAAATCATATTGAATACGTTTTTCTGTTTAAAGATCAAGGACTTACGATCGCAGTGAGCAAATTCACCCAAGATAGAAAAATCGCAATCACGGTTGTGAACGAAGTTAAATCACGACCGTGATCGTGAGTCGGCGATCACTGTGATAAATTTATCGTTGAGTTCAGCCGTGTATACTTTTATTTATAAATCGTTGAAATTCACACGGGGTCTCTTCAGCATGCTCCGGGGGCTCCGTGACCCCACGCTCTCACCCCACGTGATCAATGACGCCTCCATCGGGGCCGCCATGCAGTGTCGATAGCGCGTCCACCGGGGGCTCCGTGACCCCACGCTCTCACCCCACGTGATCAATGGCGCCTTCACCGGGGCCTCCGTGACCCCACGCTCTCACCCACGTGATCAATGGCGCCTCCACCGGGGCCTCCGTGCAGGGTCTATAGCGCCTCCACCGGGGGCTCCGTGACCCCCTGCTCTCACCCCACGTGATCAGTGGCGCCTCCACCGGGGCCTCCGTGCAGAGTCTATAGCGCGTCCACCGGGGGCTCCGTGACCCCACGCTCTCACCCCACGTGATCAATGGCGCCTCCACCGGGGCCTCCGTGACCCCACGCTCTGGTCGAATCACGAGTGGGTTCTAATCCCGACGGATCTATATTAGTTTTTCTTCGCGTACAAAAAAGTTATTGCGTTTAATATTGTTTTTATGGATATGTATATGTATTATTATGTACATTTGAGTAAATTATTTTATTATTCCATTGTTATTACAACAGTTTAACTGTGACAACGAACGCATGCATATTTTCAAATATGGGACTAATAGTATATTTTTATTCTATATTATTACATGTAAGTGAGTAATTCGTATCAAAAACCTAATCGAAACACAGATTTTTATTACACCACAAACATCGCATAATAGATATTTCGTTATATTGACATTTGTAATAATTATGGATGTTGCAAGGAAATCAATACTATTGACATTATGGAACATATAACGAAATATCACTGTAACACTTAAAAAAGTTTTAAAGTTCCATTTATATCATTGTCCTGTTAAAATGTTCATACTTCCAGCAACATTCATATTCCAATCAAAAAATTTACAGAATAAGGAAAAGGAATCTAAAGTAATTTTCAGTAGTTCCATACGTCTTTATCTCGAATAATTTTCTAAAACGTTCAAAGTACTAGTCGAGTTGCACTGTCGAGCAACAAGCTCGTCTGTCGTTTATATGCATCGTGTGCAACAAGTCTTTCTCTCCACGTCGGAACGACTTGTCGATTGGGGACACGGCTCGTCGTGAATTTCATTTAACAAAAGGCTCCTCGTTACGTTATGCACCGCGACTGTCACATTTATTTAAAGATTCTCTCGTGTGCCTCACTAATTGCAGCGCGCTCGCGTAATCAATTACTGAATGCAATAGAGAGAAAGAGACACGTCGGCTTGATTGCACTTTTCCTCTTATCAGTTGTGTCAACGTTTATAAATAGGGACACTTAAATCCCGTGATAATGATAGTTAATAATTCTAGTATACCATTCGATACCCCATTATTACAATTAACTAAACACGGTAGGACCCTTCGAGCTTAATTGCCAACGCAACCTTAGTTATTTACTAGACTGTGGATGTTTATGCATTTATAGCATTCCCGTACGCATGGAAAACAGATATTATAGAGTATATTATAGAGTACTTACATCAAATGCTATTTTAAATTGATTCACCGTTCTCACGATGAATTTACGTGTTGACAATCCCAAACTAGGCTAAACCATCTACTTATCACCATTATTCCACGATCGAACTTTGATGTGTAAGTCCGAACTCCTTCGAGTTAAATGGGGTGGATACAGGTGGGTATGGATATAGCCACTCGTATGACTCACCGTTGAGTCATACTACTTGCTCGCGGAGAGCACTACCCCAGACCCTTTCGATCGTCTTGGAAACCGGGTCAAGGATGATTTCCGGAAGTCGATAACTACTTTCACACGGATTTGCCTTCGCGCCGCAATGTTTCCGGTTGTCATCGATGCAGTCGTTAACATTTAAATCCTCTATTATAGCCAAAAAGGGTTCGATGGTCAATTATCTATACTATTAATCACGCGAAACAGGAAGAAATCGGCCCATCTCTTGTTATAAGACACGTTTTTCTTCCATTTGAGCGTGGTGTGTAACTTTGGAACAACAATTCCCAAAAATTAAGTGTAAAAAATTTTTCATAAACTATATAAAATTAGTTTCCATTACATCTACAGAGGTTTAATCGACATTATTTTTGTAAAAATGGCGCGCTTTATAAAACAAAGTTTCGAAAATCCACAAAAAGAAATGGACATTTTTTCGAGTGTGTATTACGAAAAATTTACCTTCGATCACAAAATCCGTACGTGCAACGGAAGGTAATCATGTTTTAAGAATTCTGTGAAACTATTCATTGAAATTATTTCTGTAATCCAAATGCATTGGTATCTTTGTAAATTCTTCGAATATTGATATGTAATTTTCCGATAGTATTTTCGAAGAGTTCAACTTTCAGAAAATACATAAAAAAAAACGAAGTTTTTTTAAGTGTTACGATATTTTTTTTAAGTTGAAAACGATGGAACGAGGCGAAAGAAATAATGATTTTGCCTACGTAGGCGAAGAAAGTAGGTGGTGGTGCAGCTGGGACATAGTCGAAGGTGTCGCCAGCGGAGGGAGGGGATGATGGCGGGTGGTGGTAGCGACGGAAGCTCAGTCTCAGTCTCGCTCTCAGTCTCATCCGAGCTGGTACCTCGGTGTCGAACGTGTCTGTTAACGTCCATTCAAGATCTCGTGGTTTAGTGCGACAAACTCTCTGGAAATCGATACGTGACCGCGTGGGGATCGCGCCTGTTCTAAGGGTTTACCGTCTGGAGAATCTGTGAATTGAAAGGTGAACAAAACGTTGTCATAGTTTTCTGATTTAATACTCTTGTAATGTGTACAATCATTGTTAGTTGACAATTAACTGGATGGAATATCTTGTCATTATATTTGCATTACTTAAATGGGGGAAGGAAACTTAATTGCAGAGTGTCACGTAGTTTATGGGTAAAACGAACACTCTGGGGGTCAGGGTTGACGTTTATTAATTGGGAAATAGGAATACTTATGGTTTATTGTGTACGAAACGAAAGTTCAGTGTAATTTCAGTGGTTAAAGTGAATCTAAATGGCTGCTCTTAACGAATATTCTTTATTTTGGATTTCCCTTAATTCTTTTATTGTTTGAAATCGTCAGTTCTCCATGGTTGTTCCTTGACACTGAATAGTGGTTTAAATTATTGGTGCAGGTATTGTTTAGACACTAATAATATGATAATACATTTCATCGGAGATTTAGTGCCATATCTGAACGGAATATTCCAAATCTTCGAACAAAATACTCAAAATTTTTCGTTTCGGTTAAACCACCGACTTTCTCACTTCGGGAGTTATCGCACCGTATGGAAACAATGGATTACCTTATCACTGTTTCATTTTCTGGTGACAGAAGATTTTGTTACGATTTTTCATTAACATTTCTGACAATTTCCTTCATTCTTTCCAATACGGTACACTAGCTCCCACAGCGTGGAACTCAGCAGTTTTAAACGAAACACAAAAATGTATTACAACTTTGAAAATATTAATCTTTCGCCCTCCATGTCTATTAGGACCTTTTTTCATCATTTGGCAAGTACACAGTGTACGATCTACCTTAGAAGTTATGAAACCTTTTTTTTTCTATTATTCTGTATAACGGGCTCCAGGAGGATTAACGAAAGTGAGGGTCATCATACCTGCCCCTCATTCTTAGCATTCACACGGCGCGGTCTCATTCATCCGCGAAGCTCCGTTTTTGCGTTCACGGTGACGGAAGACTCGTCTATTTTGAACTATGTAACATCGTGACGCTGGTTTACGTAATATCCCAATAAAACTGGACAAAGAACGGCCGATAACGAGGGTACCTCCCCCCCCCTCACACCATCAGCCGCGAATAGAACCACGCTGGTAGGTCGCCAGTACGTTTCGCTGGCTGGAGATAAGAAGGAACGAGACGTTGTCCCCAACAGACGCCTCGCGTGTCCCGGCTTGTTATCAAATATAACGATGCGGTCACACGCGAATATGTTTGGCCAGGCCTTCTCCAATCTCCCCATTGCATTCACCCACAGCGGGCAAACAGGTCGCGAACACCTCGCGATAGAATCATGGAAGCATGAAATCAGGGGTTGGAACTTTGTTTGGAATATTAATACGAAATATTCGAAATGTTTCTTTTTCATTTCGGACCTTGAAGGTGATTGTTTCGTATACGAATGAATTCTTGACACGCGTTTTCATATGATTTAAAAAACTATACAGGGTGTCTCGTTATAATTGTAAATTCTTGAAAGGGATGATCCCTATGGGTGATTTGAAACAACTTTTCCCTTAGCGAAAAAATTCTCCGAGGCTTTGTTAGTGAGATATTAACGAAAAACCTGGACCAATCAGAGCACGAGTCTGCCGGCTGATCTCCTGCGGTAACGTCGCTACGCTCTGATTGGTCCGGGTTTTTCGGTAATATCTCGTTAACAGAGCCTCGGAGAACTTTTTCGCTAAGGAAATAGTTGTTTCAAATCACCCCGGGAATCATCCCTTCCAAGGACTTGCACCTATTTTGGGACACCCGAAGAAATTGATAGCTTCATTTCTGAAAACAGAAAATAGTGCAAACTCAAGAAAGTTACAAACGTTAATTTTTTTCTAACATTTACTATTTGCTAGAAAAACGGTGGCTAGTAACAGCGTGAACACCCTGTATATTCGAGCCCTTGAAGGATTAGTGGTGTAAGTCAATAATTGTGAAGTCGATGTAATTGAATTTACTCGTTTTTATATAGAATGTTCATTCGGTGTTCGTGTACTGGTTCATCCACCCTAGTTATGTTTTCGCTTTGATCTTTCCCTGTTCGAAGTAAGTTTCGACGATTTTTTATCGCGGCGACGGAATATTTTAATCGTTCGTCCGATGACGGGGCGGGCGGATCGACAGTGCCTCCGTTATGGACCCTCTGCGACTCTCATTTCGGCTGCAGCCAAGGGTGAAACACACAGTTCCAAAGATATATTGAGAGCGAGGGGTGACTGCGTGCGCCCTCCCCCCCCCCCTCCCCCCTGAGCACGAAGGGATCGATAAAACACATGCGCCTTGCGGCACAGATTCCTTCCTGGAGAGGAGGCGCGCGTTCAACAGCTTTTCAGACGAGTTGTATACACACAGAACCGACCCAGCAGCAGCAGCAGTTTCCTGTTTCCCTTTCTGCGCAAGACGATATACGCGATTCGTTTCGAAACTAATCGGAGTCGTTAGCGTTTCGTAAATTGCGCGGCGGTTGGTGACTCATCGATTGTTCTTCCATAAATTGTGCCCATTAGACGTAATTACCTTCGGTTCCTTCTACGGTGATCTCGAGCCTCTAATTTTGGGTGAGTTTGTAATAACGACGATATGACGGAGTTAATAACGTTGTTGAAGAATAATGTATACGATGTTCTGGCATGTGTGGGTAAATTTAGCTGAGGTTCTGTAACTTTCATTTTAATGGATTTGCAAATTTTGCTATTTATCCCTTCGTTATATTGATTCTTTTTATTAGTGTCGTAATAATAAACCCTGATTTTTCTTACCTTTGATTAATAATCTCTTGACATATTCGAAAGAAATTAGTTAGGTTAGCTTCTATTTTATTTGTAACAATGCTCAATACTTGAATTCAAGACAAGACCAAAAGAAACTATTATATACTCGCAAATGTGAAAAAATTCATGATACTAATATTTTATGTCGTAATTTAGAATACGTAGCTATATGACAACAGTGGGAACGAATAGGTTAAACATATAATCGTTTGTCAAATATGTATTCATTCACGAAGAAATATCATTTCATTGCAAAAATCGGAATTTCCTCGTTTAATCAATAAAAAATGGCGAATTGTATATTTTTCATTTTCAATTCGTTAATTAACTATTTTCGTCTTTTATTCGGAACTGTTTACCTAGATAACGAATTTGTCCCATCTTTGCCTAAAACCGAGGCGTACGACGCCGTCTTCCAACTCGCGCCGTCGACACCTGATCGTCGTCGTTGTTACTTCATCGGGTTCCCTCGCTTCCTGTTCCCCGTTAATTACGTTAACACGCGGGTGCTCCGTAATCTCTATTTATAGTCACGAAATGACGCGTACAGTCGCCCCGCGGCTAGTCGCGATTCTGTGGCCGTTGAATTCGACTCACCTGTGCCATCGAGATCGGTACGAACGAGCATATTCTCCCGTGGATCGGATCTAATCGGTCCCAGGGTGCATCCGACATCCGAACATTATTTGAAATATTATTTCAAATAATATGTTATTTTATTTTCGGATCATTTAAAATAATTCTTAACAATTTGCATTTGAAATAAAATTTGCGTGGGTCTGGAATCAGATCGGATGCTGTTTCCAGGTGTGATATCGTATTCACCTGGCGGGAACGGTCTTTCTGTCCTTGGTCGAGCGAGAAAACACGCGATCGGACCGATTAGATTGTCCTGGTGTTCGATGTTAACGTAGGAGAAAGCGAATCGTTGTGTACACACAGTGAACATTTCCAGAGGGGAACCTTTGCATTTTTCAATGCGGTGTGTCATTAACCGTTTAACGCCCAGACCCTGAAATCGTTATTTTGAAATTATGAGACTGATGTACAGAGTTAATGAGAACTACTGTCAAAAAACGTTTCAATTAATTATGTAATTATTTTATGGAACGCATCGGATGGATACAAGTTGACTTTTTATATCTTATTTTTTGTTTGACACATCAAGGTGACCTTGAGTTTTTTCAAAATTTATCTTGTATTTAGTACCATTATGCTACAGGTCGTTGAATTCGCTCTTTGCACGGTGTTAGAAAAACGATGCATTGACCTTGAAAAAAGTCAAGGTCACCTTGATATCTCAAACAAAAAAAATGAATGATATCCAAACTGGAGGCTCGGCCCGAAATGCAGTTCATAAATTGCACAACATGAAATTTAGAAATCGTGTACGTCTACGATAACTGCTCCAAAACAGTCCCGAGTTTCGAGCGTTAATCGAAGATTTACTATAGTTATAGGAAAGTCACGTTGGTGTTGATACACGGTGTGTACTTTAAAGGTTAATTAATGAAATTAGGTGGCATACACGCTTAGATCGAGGAGTTTGCATAACACTGCAAAGCGATCAGGAGACATCGACGACCCCCTCGGCGTATTTCATTAAACCCGTCGGCGTTTCTTTCACGCGGGAGGGACCGCCTACGGGAATTATGTTAAATCGATAGCTCGCGTTACTTGACCCCAATACGTCATCGACGTGTCAAACGTTAACGGGCGTAAACGGTGTACTTACACGTTTCACATTTTAATAAAATCGGCCGATTAAACTTGACCATGACACGGTGTCCCGTGCCGTGCGGCGCGGCGGTACCGATTTCCTAACGCGTTAATAATCGTCCCCGATTATTAAAACACGAGAGTTTGAACTTTAACCCTTCCATGGAAAAAGTAGAATGTTACCAGTCGGCGAGTCGTCTAGAGATTCGAGTTCAATGGAAATTCCTGTAACTATAAGTTGGGCACAATTTTATTCAATTTATACATAGTGAAAAAAAAAATGCAGAGATTTGAACAGTCAATGAAATTACATAATTGTTTGCCAAGTGCCTAGTAGTAATATTTCATGATAGAAATTGGAATTTCCACGGTTAATCAAGTTCCTTTTCTTTATATTCTTATTTGTTAACGAGCACTTAAGAAATTTTGTAACTGTTAAAGACAAATTTTACATGACAGTAATATTAATAAATATACGTCACATTAACAAATATATTAATTACATTTGAAGAATTCGACAATGTAATTAAGAAGAAAAAATACAAATTTCACCAGTAAACGAACATTTCTAACCAATGGCGCGTTCGCACGTGAAACAAGAAATTGGAAAAAATCAATATTGAATCATTTTCCTATTTTAATAAATTAGTTAACACGTTTTTATATATAATATTCATTTACTGGTGCGTGTGCATTTACTGGTGCATCCACCCTATAAGGGAACTTCGAAGTTAAGGGAGAGACAGCTGATTTCTCGATCCTCGGAATTGGTAGGGATAAGGATGCAAGCGGAGAAAACCGACACGGAGACCGAGAAGGTCGAGAACAACCACGTCGAGGAAAAGAATGAGGCCAAGACGGAGAAAAACGGCGCTATTGGCGAGTCTACGGAGGAGGCGGTCGCGAACAAGACCGCGAATCTGAAGATCGAGGAGGACACCGGAAGCTCGGCGCCAAGCAGTCCGGGCGCCACGCAGCCTGGCACGTTTCTGGCAAGTTTCAAGGCGTTCTCGAAATTCGGTGACCCGAAAAGCGACGGGAAACTGATCACGCTGAGTCAAAGCGACAAATGGATGAAGCAGGCGAAGGTGATCGATGGGAAGAAGATCACCACCACGGATACGGGAATTTACTTCAAAAAGCACAAGTAAATATATTCGATTGCTATATTTAAATTCTGCTCGTCGTTTTGGTTTTATTTTCGTGGAGACCAAATGGTTGTAGCATACCCTAATTGAGGCCTGACTGAATTGAATATACAGTAATTTAATGGTGTATGTATTCTTAAAATTAATAGAGATACATTTAAAAAGTCTGATATTTTGAGAGTGATGCTTACAATGTTATTGCAGTGCTTTGAGAAATTTAATGTTTGTTTCATGGGGGAAACTAAACAATTGAAGCTTCATCAGTAATATTTGTGGTTGTTCTCGAATACTCTCCGCCATCTTTATTAGAAAGGGCGGGAAGTGCATTGAATTTAAACTACTAATTGTAGTATTAGCTACATGTAGATATTAAATCAAGTTTAATATTAATGTGTTGGATATTAGAAGCCTGTAACGCTTCAGAAACATTTGATATTGTTCTTAAATATCTATTGTAAAACGAAACTGTAGATTACTCAGTGGCATACCTGATAAAATGTTACGGATTTTTTACGATATCAGATATTTTATTAGCGTTTTCGTCGACAGATCCACGAAGCTGGGAATAGAACAGTACAAAGCGTTCCTGGATGAGCTAGCTAAGAACAAGAAGGTCGACCTGGCCGAAATGAAGAAGAAAATGGCGCACTGCGGGCCACCCGGCGTGACCGCTACCTCAGCGGTGGGTAGTTCTTATGAAGCCTCGGGAAATTTGCCGTCAGTGACTTAAAAGAAGACACACACGACATCGTTGACATTCTACAAAACGTCAATCGATGTCGTCCATAAGCTCTTCTACTCACGATTTTATAAATTAATCTAGGCGATGCTAGCACATATATATATATTACCTGTCACGACCTTGTCTGTCATGCTATCGACGTTGACGATTTACGATGTCGACGGAGCACACCTTATGGACATATTTAACAGTGATAAATCTCAAACCGACGATTTACATCGCCCACGACTCGTAATTTTGCTCGTTAATCAGTACACTATCTCGGAACACATTCAAAGAACCGGTTAAAAAAAATCTTCAAGTACGTTCTTGAAGTTTCTCGATCTTCTGAAGGTTCTCCAATTTAATATTTCATATGCCTGTAGTTGCTGGTCGCCAAATAGGTATTATACATTTAAAAAAAAAACTATAAAAAATTCCGAATGGGAATACCCTCTTAACCCTTGCGTGGGCAACCAAAATGTTCACGATTATTGAGCAATCGGAGTACCCCCAAACATCCTGACAGATTAGATAAACACAGATAACGTTATTTTCATACTTTTTTCTTCCTTTAACATACCAAGTGCTGTTTTCCAGAAGAACATAAAAAATCGCGAAAGGAAATATAGCAATGGGTACAGCCACGAGCAAACTCGGCTTCCGCTATAGTAAAAATTGGCGTAAGGATAAGGGCCTCCTACCTACTGAAACAAATGTTAAACCGAATGTTAATTTGACATAAATTTCGTTAACCCCGAGGCCAAGTGTTAGGAGGTTTTTTCCTTACATAACTTTTTCCCCTAGAGGAAGCCGAATTTTCTCGTGAGGGTACATGGGTACTCGGTCGCCCACTTAAGGGTTAAGTCTCTACTCTAAACGTCCAGCGTAAATGCTGTTAATACGTCCCATTCAAAGAGGAATTTAGATTCCAAATGAATAATGATTTTCAGGCTGGAAAGGCAGGCTCGACCGTGGACAGACTGACGGACGTCAGCAAGTACACCGGCTCTCACAGGCAGCGTTTCGACGAGGCCGGCAAGGGGAAGGGGATCGCCGGCCGGAAGGACCAGCCTGATCAGTCTGGCTACGTGCAGGGTTATCAGAACAAGGACACCTATAACAAGGGCCATTAGCCTGTGATCGCGTCGTTCTGCGATGTCTTCGACACACACTGTCGTCCCGTCCACGCATTTCGTGCGAAACAAACGCGTTTCCGTTTGCGCGCCATCGCTGTCTCGTCGATGTTCTTCCGGGTTGGGAAGGGGGGGGGGGTCGCGGCACGGCGAACGGCACCATCGCCGACAATCAGGGACGCGAACCGAACGCTTTGACGAAAATTTGGAAGATCTGAGAGCGATCCGTTGATCCCAGCGAGACGAAGACACGGAGGAACATCTCTGAAGCTTTGTTCACGCCTGTTTTTCCTGTACGCTAAACAGAGAAAGACGCAGGAAGCTTCTGATCGCTTCGAAACGCTGCACACAGGGTTCGGTGTACGGATCGTCCTTGCACCGACTGATTATTATCGTAGACTTCGCGTAAACGGTGGACTCTGATGGGTAACACTGGGACGTGTGACAGTTTGACGCGTTTGAAATATGTATACTGTATTTGGGAGGTTGGGCCATTTCGAAATAGAGGAAGCACGGTTCCTTTGACACTGTTATGGATGATCTGTTTTTTTTTTTTTGTTTTGCGAAGATGATTGCCCCGATTGTTCGATTCACGATGATCGCTTTTCTGTAATTCTGGACACTTTGACACTACGGAGGTTCTTACTTTTATTTGTTCGGATGTGATTTAGATGTTTTTGGTTTCTTCGGTATGTATATTACGTTTGTTAACCATGACGATCGAGATGAAGGGAGCAGGCGAAGCTTCTTGCAGGCCGCCATATTGGCGTTACGTAAGAATTTCGCGCGCGTTCTCGGCTATCACGTCGATCCTTGGGAATCTTTGTATGTACAGTTTACGGATCCGCTTCGGTGTACGGGAAAAAGTCGAATTTGTGATTGATCATATATCTACCATATATATATATATACGTAATCGATTAAAAGTGTACTTAAACGTGGCTACTGGGACGGTAGCGGCGGGTTCGAGACCAAAATCCGTGACTTTGGTGTATTTACTAACTATCGAAGATGTCTGGGTGAGATATAAGCAGAAACGATGGAATTCTTGCTTCTTGTTTGCTAAGGGAGGAATGAAACGGAAATATTTAAAAAAAAAAAAAAATGGACAAACGTGTCGCGTCTTCTTAGCCTATTTTCTACGAGTATCTTTTCGAGAAAATTGTCGACGATTTCAATCTTCCGACGTCGTGTATTCCGTTTCAACAGTTTCTGGGTAGGGGGAGGGGTATTGTCTCACTTTCGCGAGTACCTACGTTATGTCAATGTAACCGTAATGCACTTTACGAACCCTCTAAAATCGATGTATGTACAGTACACTCTTTAGGGGACAATGTCGACCGATTCTCTCGAACGTTGGAAACGTCTTTGTTCGGGATAATAAAGAAGAGTTGAACGAAAAGATTGTGTCTTACCGTGAATCTACTCGTTTGTAAGGATTCGGACGCTACGACAGTCAATTGAGTACAGATATGGTTCTGGTAAATTTTGGGAATTTTGCCGAATCAATGGTAAAGCAGCTTTTATACGATTCCGTATTTTCACCAAAAATCCGACTCTCACGCTTATCCTTTGTACGTGTGAATGCTGCTTCCGCCTATTACCAATTCGTCAAAATTACCGAATTTAAAAAACCCTATCGTCTGAACTTGGCTGGTTTGAGATGGACAAAATCGAGATCGAAAGATTCCAATTGCAATCTCTTGTTCGTAATATTTTGTCCGTCTCTAATATTCAGTAGGTACAAAGATCGAAATCGCGTCACCTCTACAACTTTCCCTTCCTCAAACACTTCAAAGTCCCCGATGACGTGTGACTACAATTTCGAATAATTTAAGGGGGGCAAAGGTGAATGAAAGAGTTGGCAGTTTCGATAAAAAGTTCGTTTATTTTCGGACCTCTGTGCCCCAAGGCAGAGACAAATAACATCGCAGAAGCCAATGCAAGTCCGCTGCAGGCTTTTCTATGTATTACAAAATAAATCGGCGTGTAACGCTCGGTTTCGATCGTGATCGGTAACGGTGAATCGCGATCGTGTACACAGGTTAATGGGAGAGAGAGGAATCTCAGGTGTACTTAAATGCTTGGCAAAAGCAAAATCCATTCTAAATATACCCGTCGAGAACGTCTGATCGTTTCACGGTTCCTTCGCGAGCGGAAGAACAGGTCTTTTAGACCTGAGATATCGGGTTCAATTTCCTAACAAGTGGAATACACGTTCGAGAAATTCTATACGACGAATCGTGTCGCGTCGTCGTTCGTTCTCTTGTTTCGTGTTTCATTCATTTTTACATATCGTGCACACACGCGGTGGTTCACGGATGGTCGTTTTAAAAGGAAAGAGACTACTGAATACTGAGCGAAAACAAGATAGAAAGAGATAGAGAGAGAGAGAGGAAACAGAATTAAATAACGTTCATTAAATTACAACTACACTAGAAACCAATTTTCATACGCGTAATATAATACAAATATTTATATATATATATATACTATTTATATATAGAAAAATGTATATATATTAAACTCTCTGTGCTCGATTCGGAATCGAAATCATCGTACAAAAAGAAAAAACACCCGACAGGGGGTTCATGCAATACAATTGCACAGAAAAAAAGGTGGAGCGTATACACTGCCGTTCGAGATTTCAAATCCATTGTTCAGACTAAAATGGCTGTTTTGTATATTGCTTTTTACATTAATTTCATACTATATAACAAAATACAGTCGTATCGTGAATACTTGTCTTTCAAGAGTACGAAGTAGTGAAATGCGATCGCGGTGTTTTCGAAACAGCATCCGTTATTCGAACAGCCAAAAGGTGATCCGACCTTTCGAGCGGAAGTGGTGGATACCCATTTATTAGGGGAGGAATATTTCTTCGAGTACGTACCTAAATTTACGCGAGTCGTTAAACCACGGTACATACAACAGAACCGTGTGTCGTTCAGTCTTCTCAAGTCAATTCTCTACACGTCGAGCACGAATACTGAACGACGAAGCCTCGAGTCATCGCGGTTTCGGTTTCGATTTTCACCTCGTAGATAGGTGTGGATTCGAAGCATGTTCCCCCGAAAGGAAATCATATCCAGGCTGCCTTGAATAATTCGAGTCTTGGCTCGAGAATCGGTTAACGTCGTTACAACTCGGTCAAAGTGTCGACCGACGCTCGAAGCCTGGATCTGCTCGCGATGTCGCAGGATCTGCTGGTCCCAACACCGTCCAATCGGGAGACTATCTCGTCCCTGAGAGCGACGAGAACGCGACGATCCTGTCGGTTCTGGGGCGGCGCGATTTGCAAAGCCTCTTGGACATCGGACAGAGCGTCTTCCAGCAAGTCTGAGTCGACACGCGCTTTTGCCCTGGCGTAGAAGGCTTCGTAGGACACCGGCCGAACTTTTAGAGCCTCGTCAGCGAGCTCGATTGCTTCCGCACATTCCTGTTAAAGGGAAATTATCGAAATCAAGTAACCGAATTCGATGACTGTCGTAAATAAGAGGGTGGAATAAATATGAGTAGGGTTTAGGGTAATAATATAGCAGGACAGGAGATTTTGTCTTGATATAATTGAGACCTCCTCTGTTATGTAAATGGTACTCGTTACTTGTTTTTACCATTCTCAAATATTTTTACTAGGCAGAATATTGGAGAATTATTCTGAATTTAAACTACACCGCTGGAATATTGCAACAAAATTATTTCTCGCGATTAGTTAACTGAAAAATAGTTCCGATACATGCACCTTATTTCACGAGAAAATCCCTGGAAATATGATTTTCTAGATTTGACGTGTATAAGTAGCACTGTTAAAGAATTAATTTACTCCTTAACTCGGATAATAACGCTCTTCAACTTACGTTCATCTTGCGCTTGCATCGACTGAGGTTAAGCAAGAAATTCAGCCGCAGCTGCGCGAAGGTCTGCAGCTGCAGCATCATGTGATCGTGCTCCTGCCCTTGACAATCCTCTTCCGGCGACACGGGGAATTTCCTCAGTGCGTAGGCGTACCTATGAGACGCCTCCTTTAACCTGTTCTTCCGGTACAGGACATTCCCGTCCTCGAGGAGTTTATTCAAGAGGATCAGAAGAACATCAGGCTTGCCAGCGGCCATTGCCCAGGTGGCTGGTCCTAGTTTAGCTCCTCGACGCAGGAAACACTGCACCACCGGGATGTTTCGACACCCAATGGCTCGGTCCAAGGGTCGCATTCCGTGCAGATCAACGTGCTCCACAGCGGCCCCTTTCTCAAGCAACAATTGCACCAGCTTTGGATTGCCCTGTACAGGAATAAGGAGAACACTGCAGTCTACAAATCTAGTCAAGATCAAGATTATTCTTCTTTATCTTATTCCTCCAGTTCCATTTCATCGACAAGTTGACAGAATTATTTGCACAAGGATATATGTATCAGGACCCATACCTGGAACGCAGCCAGGTCCAAAGGAGTCCTGCCAGTGTTATCGCTGGTGTTAACATCAGCGCCTCGATCAATGAAGTTCTGCACGGCAGTTAATCTTCCCCTGACGCAAGCCCAACAGATGGCAGTGAGTCCCTCTTTGTCCCTGCTCTCTAATATAGAGCCTTTGTCGAGGAACAGTTCGATCAAGTTCGTGTGGCCCTCAGAGGCAGCCAGCATGAGCGCTGTACGTCCAGCGGAGTCTCGTTGGTCCAGAAGTAACACTGCGTCGTCCAAGATGGTGTCCGTACTGCTGGATAGTGTACCTGAACATACATTATCGTTTAATCATCATGGAACATAGGTTACCTTTATTTCTTCGCAGAATCTGTACTCTTTGGATGTATACAAACCTTGCAGGAGTCTCTCAGCAGTTCCCCAGTGCCCCTCTCTTGCAGCCAGCATCAAAGGAGACAGACCTTTTGCATTCACGGCTGTCGGATTAGCTCCACGCGCTAACAAAGCGGAAACAGTGGCTGTAGAACCATTAGCTGCTGCTATTGTCAAAGCAGTCTCGCCAATTAGGGTGTCAGGACGATCCACGATCACCTCTGCCATGTCCAATAGATATTCGACGATCGATTCGTGACCTTGAGCCGCGGCAGCTACCACAGCTTGCTGGGCAGCTTCCTCTCTGCTCATGTCCTGAGAGATTTCGGGCTCGTTCTCACCGGATGGAACGAACCAATCGCATGCCAGCAGGTATCCAACCACCGACAGTCTTCCGTGCCTCGCTGCATGGACAAGAGGACACTGGCCGGCCATGTCTGTGTGACCCAGTGATGCTCCAGCGGCGGCCAACCTAATATTAAGCATTCTATTACACTCTGCCACCTGTATACTTCTGGTGGACGGGATATAGTGTAGTCGTAATGTCAATTGGTGGCTAAAGTACTCGAAGGAACTGATCGAAATATAGGGCATTTCTTCAGCCAACACTTAACTGGCTAACCATCGTTTTCGTAGTTTCCCAACTCTTCTTAAGGGATCTGAGTATCCCGATCCCACAATAATGTGTGTACAGGGTGGGGCAATTTTCTTACATTACAGTTCGTTTATTTTACTACCACATTTGAACTTGCATGACCTACAATGATAGCTCGCTGAAGTCGTCTCAACACCGGCTATCACATCGCGATAAAAAAAACATAGCATTCCATAAAGATAACCTTAAAATCTCCTTTATGTCTTCGCCTACGTAGAAAATGTATGTGGCACAATATGCCCCCCTCTAAACCGTGTAAGTTTTGTATATAACATTTTTTCATATTATTACAAATAACGGCAATATTGGAGATAGTTATTGCTCCACCTTGTACATCTATACTCTGATATCAGTAGGGAATCACTTATCGAAGGTTCAGCGACTATAATACCCAAATCTTCTGCTCGACTCGTGCTCACCTTCTAACCACGTCGCAGTGTCCCCGCGCAGCGGCCAACGACAGTGCTGTGCAGCCTTGGCTGTTCGTCAATTCAACGTCAGCCCCGAATTCCAACAGCAAGGACACCATCTCGACCGAGCCCTCGTGAGCGTACATGCAAAGGGCCGGAGCGTTTCCCAGATATTCGGTGATGTGGTTCGGGGATGCTCCCGCCAGCAAAAGCAACCTCGAAACCTTCACGTTCGGGCTGTAGACGTTCCGCAGTGTGCACAGCGCGGATGAGACGCACTCCGTGGACGATGCTAACCAAATGGCCTGCGGAGGACGAGATTTCGTAATCGTTGACACACACGTCGTTTCCGTTTCGGATGCAAATGAGAGAGCAGGTGGTTGTTACCTGTAAATCGCGCGAAGGCCAACACGGTGCAACGCCTCTGTATACATGCGCCTTTAGTATGTGATGACCCAGTTCGAGGGCTTTATCGCCGTCTAACGGTGCCTGGAGCCGGGACAGCCTGTAAGCGATCGCTGCGTGACCGAGCCTAAGGTCGCAGAGGAACTTGGTCGACTCGCCCTCATCCCTTCTCATCAGCCACTCCCTGAACGACGGATGGAAGAACATGTATGTATTGTCCAGACGTTTCACGAGGAATCCAGAAAGCATCTGATAACAATACACGAGAAGATCCCGTTTTGTACATCGAATGGGCGGTAGTTGGATTGCGAAACAGAGTATATTGGTGTATATGTATATACATGTATATATATTCAGGTAATCGTGACGGAGACTTACACTTGCTCCACTGGTGGGCGCAGCGGTTGTGGGATAACGAGAGGAACCATTAGAACGATCTTTCGTCATCTACCGTTTATTCGTGAATGGCTCGAGTGAGACATACATACTTACTTTGAATCTCTGTAGAAAATCCTCCCATGAAACGAAGTGGTCCGTGTTCAAGGAGTTCACTGAATAGAAGATCTCCGGGAGAGTTAAGGGATAGAGGGCAGCAAGACAGACGCCGAGGAGAGGTTGAATTCTGTCGAACGAGGTGGCAGTGGGGAATCTGAGATTGAAGTGCAGCTGGAAAATCTGCGCCAGAGACACTGGAAGCACCTGGAAAAATCCGAGGAGAACGTTGATCCAGGGGGACACTTGAAACCTATCCTAAATCACTATCGTGAAAGCAAGATCTTGGTCGATTGATAATATATTGTGCTCACCTTGTAGCTCGCGGATTTAGCTACTAAGTGTCCACTCTCTATAAGATCGAGCGTCAGCTTCGCGAAGAGAAAGCTGCCCCTGGCCAACGCCAGCAGATGCGAGGCGAATCGTGTTTGGTTCGCGCTGCAAGACGATTCCGTTTTGCCGTTCACCGACGCGGTGACGTTCGTCTGGATCGCAGGGCTCTGGGACAGTCTGTAACCGATGTAATCGGACAGATCCCTGATGTGTAGGGAAGCTGTTTCCCGCACTCTAGCAGTTGCGTTCGAACTGTGCAGATGATCTTCAGCCAGCTGGGGAAGTTGGGGGCGTGTCTGGTAAGGAAAGACGCTATCGTGTCGCCTCTGTCCGGTCTGTGATACTCTGCTTCGCAGACGGCGTCGATCAAGATCACCTGCAATAGAAAAATTCACTTGAATTTAGGTTCACTTAGACTCCGTGGACCCTCTATGGGTCACTTTGGATTTTATTGAAGTCGGAGAGGTTAACTCGTTCGCTACCAGCGATACATATGTGTGCCAGTTTAAAAGAATGTTTATTTTACTTTTTTAGAATGTTTTAAATATAAATATGTAAAGTCTATTTCAATTGGTGTCGTATAATCCCGACAAAAATCATGGGCTGTGGTGGACGTTTTTCCCATGAAACTCTGATAGCGAACGAGTTAAACGATGACAGATGAATGTTTATTAGGGAAGAGGATTTCCTTCGTACCATATTGGTGTCTGGCAGTCTGTTCGTCTTCTTGAGCGTGGACAGGGGCTCGATGATGCCCCTCGATAGTGCTAGGTCTGGATCGACGGTGCATTCCCTCTGCGAGAGGGAACCCTGAATGTGAGGTTCAGAGAGCAGGTACTCTCTATAGGAGATCAACTGAGGTGCTTGGCAAAGTTGAGCGGCTAGAGAATGGATCAGGTCGGGTACCAGGCAGGTACTGTTGTTATCCGCTTGACAGAAGTGGTACGCGACGACGTGGGAAGCCAATTCTCGAACCTACGGATCGATAATTCCAACGATAATCGTTATATCCTCGAAGGAAAAAGGGGGATCAGGACCATTCTACACCATATTACAATCTCATAAAAATCGGAAGACATGGACATACAAGAAGACCAAGCCAATCTCATTTCTCAAGTCCCATCTGGTGTACACACTTGACTTTATAAGCAGATCAAACGTCGACGTACCTTTTCGTTTGTGTTGCGTATACCAGCGTGCAACACCGAAGTGCAACCAGTCTTTTCTTTCTCTTCCGGTTCCTCGCTGATCTCCGACGGAAGCGATTGTTCTCTTCGTCGGCCGAAACAACTGTGCTCCACCAGCTGCAGAACCAGCGCAGTCTTTCCTGTCCCAGGTGAGCCAGAGATCAGTACCCCGGGACTCGAGCCGTTCACCACGGATTCTATCTCGTGCAGCAGCCATTGACGACCGGTGAAGAGAGGATCGGTTTCGAGTAGGGGTACTTCGAAGAATAAGGGCTTTAGGGTCAGCTGCGTCGCGTGGTGTTGAAGAAACCGTACTGGAAGATGATCAAGTTTCCGTTAGTTGAAACATCTGGAGTATCCATGACATGGATCTCTGTCTATAAACACACTTCGTGGTAATCGTCGTAAAACAGTTGGTCTTTTCGTAACTAATGTCCCTTTTACAATTCTCACTGTTGAGGCTTTCGGGTGTAAGCCGTGTCCTTGTGGAATTGTTTTCCCAACGTTTCGCAAGCATTGAAGCTAGCTTCATGTCGACGAAAGCCTCAACAGTGAGAACTGTATGATGTCAGGCCGTGAAAGCCTCAAATCTCTAATGTCCCTTTTGTAATATCAACGTGATTAATGTCCTGCTAAATTTCGTACTCTATTGGCTGCTTCCTCTAAGTATTGAAGGTCTCAGCATTATGACAAATCAATCAACAACAAATGATTGGAACCGAAGACCACGTGTCTACAGACCAAGCACTCAAGTCATTCTATCCTCTCCGAACCACCCAGACTGTAAAACTTACATTTAGCATCGACGGCTCCCTTCATGTTACCAGTCCTAGCCGATCTCCTGGCGCAGGACCGTCTCGTCTTGAACTGTCCAAGCTCATCCGTATGTCCAGCTTGCGAGGCGTTGACGGAATGTCTTCTAGGAGTTAAAGGGCTCGAGCTGCCGTTCGACAAGCCCGACACAGACACGGACATGGACATTGACATGGACGTGGACGCGGACACAGACGTGGAGATCGAAGCGAGGCTACCTGCGCTGTCGCAATCCCTGGATTTGCTCTTTCCTTTGACCTTCGACTTGGGTTTCACAGGACATCTCAAAGCGGCGGCTGCCTCGGCTTCGCTCGAGGTGCCGGTCAATGTGGATACGGGGCTGGTGTTCGTCGAGGCGAGCGTTTGCGTCTCGAAGCTCGTCAGGCTGCTGAACGAAGCAGCGGAGCTGTCGTGGCCTTGTACAGGGACTCTGGGCTGACATGAGGTCACGCCTGAACGACTGGACACACCTGGCAGGTCGGTCGTGTCCACGCCACTGTTTGCTCGCGTGTGATTGTTGCCCAGAAGCAGCCCCAGCCTCATGTACAGATCCGACTGCGACGACTTCCTGGTTTTCGAGGACAACGGCTTCACGCAGCCCCCCTCGTCGTCTGCAAACGGAAATTTCTAGGATGAAATAAGCTGTGCATAGAGAGAAGTATGCAAGATCGAGAAAAAGAAAATCCACAAAAAAAAAAAAACACATATCACGATGCAGGATCCGTTGTAGAACGACTTAGTGGACTTCTCAAGCGTCTACCCTAGATGCTACAAGAATTCTCCTCTATTTATAATACACCGGAGGGGTCACGTTTTGCACCTTGCTGGAATGGGAGATTCGTGCCTAGATCACACCACACGTAGATGATAAATTGCGGAGCATGCTACAGACTCTTAATCGGTGCTCTAAGAGGATTGCGATGGGAAGAAAAGCCTCTAGTGGGTAGGATTCAGAAACCAGGTGAACAAAGGCGAGGGTTAAGCAGTTAGAAAATGAGAAAGAAAAAGATTCGTGTGTGGATGTCTGTCACATTCATCCTCAACCCTCGAGCAGTCCGCGATCAACTCAATGCACACTCGATTCTAAAGTGTCCTCCTGCCTGTGACTTTGCTGCCTGGATCGATCAGCTGGTTCAGACCGTCGTTCGCTGTCCCTTGACTGTTGCTCCACAAAGATTTGATTTTCCCCAGCACTACACCCGGCCATCGTGACTTGCCCTCCCAAGACGAGGTCATCCAAGCTGCGTGTGCGTGCGGGTGTCAAGGTTAATAAAAATCGAAGCTGATTCCCGGCGCCTTCTAATTGTTTCTATTCTATCCGAGGATCTACCATAGATTTATAGAAAACGAATATTTACCTGATAGAGCAGAGGGATTGTCGTTTACGTTGGGCTCTGGGGACGAAGCGCCTCGCCTGGACGATCTCTGAGGAACGAACGAGCTCCTGAGGACTTTAGGATTCAGGAAGAATCTCTTCCTTTGATTCGGTGGAGTTGGACAGCCTGAAAAAACCAATGGTCCCGTTATTGAAAAAACCTCGATAATCCTTCATAAACAAACGATTATCAAGCACGTTTCTGGTACGTACTTTGCGTCATCATGTGAAGTTTCTGTCGGCCCTGGGACCCAGAGGACTCCGGCAGTGCCGGTGGTTTGTTCCTCAGGCCCTTCGCCATCGCCGTGCACGAGATCTCGTCCACCTCACGTGGCTGAACAAACACGTAAAAAACAAATGAACCAGAAGAATAATCGTGAGTGATTCGTTATTACTAGAAATTCGTTACGAGTCTACCATACAGTGTCAGTCAGAGATGGGCACAATTTTATTCGAATATAGTGAGAAGCAGCAGTATCTAAAATCGTCATCCTGCCACCTTTAAACAGTTCATGAGATTAAATAATTGTTTGCAAAGTGTCTACTAATTCAAGAAGAAATATTATTTCATGACAAACATTAGAATTACCACGTTGAATCAAGTAAAAATGACGAAATATTTTTTTAATCCTTTATTCGTTATTCGAAACTTTTTATCTAGATAATGAATTTGTCCATCTCTGGTGTCAGTGATCACCGACATACCAACCGAAACGCACCGATCAAATGGACTCGGTACGACACAAAGGTCTCGTCGAACAATAGTTCGCAAACGTTCTAGACATTCCAGGTGTCTTGTCTTGAGAGTAGAGGATCTGGCTAGAGCCATATGTCGAGGCTACCCGACAGGAAAGTGTTACTCGAGGACGATGATGATGATGCTTACGTGCATGACTCGTGACGGAAGATTGGCTCTCGTGGTGACTTTCGTGCGCGGTCTGGGGCTGCCGCAGAGAGAGTTCACCGTCGATGACTCATCGATCCAGCCGTCCGTGGGCGCGAGGATGGACACGGGCCCCGTGGAGCCGGTGAACCCGTCCCTGAAGGGTCCCTCGAGCCCGTCCTCGTCGTTGTAGTCCGCTCGCAGACACAACGGGCACGCCTCGCTGCGGAACAGGCAGGAATAGCAACGCTCGTGTCCGCAGGAATCGATCAGCCGTCGTTTCTTCCCTTTGTCGAACGGCATCTCGCAGGACGGGCACGTCGAACCGCCGAGCATCCCCGTGGACTCCACCAGCGCTCTGATCTGGGCCAGATCTGCGACAGAAAACGATTCCCCACACGGCTTAGAATAACAGATACGTCCGAAATTTTGTAATTAGTGTTGGAAACTCAGTGGGACTGATGACGTGGAACTTCGGACCTGACAATTTATCTACGAAATTAATACAGTAAATCATTCATGAGTGTTCGAAGGCTCCTTCTTCCCCACCAATGGACGCTTGATTCCATGGGAAGAATTATAGTAAAATATATGATAAGGGAGAAAGATATTGGATCACTGAAGACTTCCGAGGACCTGGAATATCAGGAAGAATTGGAACCCAGAAGGGATCTGGAATTCTGTTGGAGGATTCAATCTTTCGGTGGCTAGAACGAAAAGGTAACTCATCCCCTCAGTTGAAGGTACGTGTCCTTGGAAACCTCGATGGTAGCTAAAAGCTAGACGCCCATTCTTCAGGTTGTACAAAGGGGGGGGGGGGAGTTCTTGGGCCCGATTCTCGTGTGTTCCATTTCAACGATTCGCGAGTTGGTACGTTTGACAGTCGCGTGGACCATCTGTCACGAACAATCTGTACGAGGAGAGGGGGGCGTTGGTATCTCGGTTAGTAGAGGCACATCGTGGTGTCGGTGAACGAACGCGCCTGTGTTCGTTCTATCGATAATGGATAAACGAGAGCCGTGGAGTCGCGAAGGCGCCATATACTTAAAGGATTCTAGAAAGTGAGGTCAAGAGGAGACCTCACGTGCCTCCCCTCGATCGTCCTCGCGTACACGATGAACGAGAGAACCTGCTGGCGTCGTCGCGCCCCCCGCTTCTATTTCTCGATCGTACGGACCAAGATCCTCTCTCGATCCGACTGAGGCCATTTCTCTCCGTTACTCGTGTGCCGTTCGTCATATTTCGAAATTTACGATCACGGTTAGGGAGAAACCGATACCGTCGAGGTATCGATACTTTTACTCATAACTTGTATCGAAAAAATAGTATCGATATTTACTTCGTGTTGCATCAAAAGTATCGATACCTATTTGTATCGAAGGAAAATGAATACAACGTTCTTTTTTATTAACGAACATTTATTAACCAACGTTTACTAACCAAGTAATAGAGTACTGGATGACAACCACCTTCACAATTTATTGGGTGGTTAGGCGTTTTTCCAATTGGTGTCCGCGTAATTATCGGCGACAAAGGGGGGTTCAACGCTCTCGTTGAGGAAGGAACTGAACGGGTCGAGGTATGCAAATTGCGGATTAATACGACATCACGATGGGTAGCCGGGGCGAGATTGACTCGGTGCTTGAACGATCACTTTGTACAATTGACGAGCTCTCGGAGCGAGGATGTGTGACGATCCGGGGACCGTCAAATGGGGCTTCAGTGTTTCAGGATTTAACGAAACAACCGGATCTTTGTCTCTTGATGATTATTTCGGTGATTATCACTGGCTTGCATTTCGAGCGTATGGCGCAGCAAAATACAGCGAAATCCTAGCATTTCTTCTAGTGGTAAAAATTTGCAATCCTTATGTATTATTATTAAAATAGAAACAAACCACTTTTTTCCTATAATCTATCCTTTTTTGGAGAAACATTAGATATGTGACCATACATGGTTCGTTTGTTATTTTAACCAGAATACATATTTAGTTCAATTTTATAGTTATTCCACGGACTGTTTAAGTCTTTCAGAAAAATTGTATAATCCATTTATCGATTAAGCCTGAAAAGTGCCCACAGTAAAAATTAAAAAAAATTTTTAAATCGTCGAAATCGTAGTCAGTGAGTGCTCCCGTGCACGGATCGACCGCGAGCGGCAGAAAAAAGTGACGTATGAGAAAAGAAGGAAGTATGTAATTCGGGTCGGCCCCGCGACCCTTTATCCCGGTAAGTCGGCGGCGAGGCAGGTGCAACGTCGGGCTACGTTACCGTAAGCTGGGTCAACGCACCCGACGCGCGGTGATGCCCGCCTCTTCCACCGTAAACTCGTATCAACGATGTCGTTTTCTCCGGAGGCATCACTGACTCACCGTGTTTCCGCCGTGTATGTATCCAGTTTCCAACCTATCCGCGATCGGCGGGGCCCCCAGCGAGATTTACAAGCGACGATCCGACCCCCGGATGTCAGAGGCCGCGGAAACGTTCGCGACACATAAGCTTCCCCCTCTTTTCTCCCGACAAGTTATTCCTCGTTTCGATGGTATCTGTAGGATCGAATTCTCGCGGGAAAGTACAGTAGAACTTCATTTACCTGGACATTTCGGACATCCGTTCGTATAGTTGGAAAATTACCGCCACGCGACTCGAACTTTATTAAATTTATATTTCCCGCCAGATTTAATCTTTGTAAAAAGTGTCACTCTTACAAGTACAATTTATAGGTACAGTACAATTTACAAGTGCAAAGAATTTCACTTTTATACTGAGTGTTACTTGTACAAGAATATCCGCCACCCGACTGAATTTGAATTTAAATTTCCCGCCATGGTCCTCATAAAAAATATCTATTTATTCTTCTCCGACATTGGTAATACTTTGCTACATTTTAGGCGCTTTTTTCTTAATTCACGACCAAACGGAAGTTTTCGATCATCTCGAATTAAGCGGAAACAGAGACTTTTTTTACGAGCAACGGAAGAGACTCTGTGTATATGGCCGTGTTGGCTCGGCCATATTACGCGGGTCCCTTTTTCCCGCCTCGTTTCGACCAATAGTCACGGAACCCCAGACCGTTTCACTTGGCTGGCATTTTCTATTGTAATTTAATGGTGCTTCTCCCCGGAGTTTCGGCCTTTTTCCTTCATTCGTTCCCCGGCCGCCGTGATCTAACAAGGTGAGAACGAGCGTCGGGCTGTGGGCCTCGGTGCGCTGCGAACCGTGTAAATCCGGCGTCCATTATTCCCACGTTTTCCAGACCGTGACGGTTTGTAACATCAAAGCGCCCCCCTCGCGATCTCAGAGTAGAGAGAACACTTCCTCGCTGCTTTGAACTTCTTTCCGGAACCTCGTTTCGTTTTTTTTTTCTCGGTGAAGACGAGAGAGAGAGGATCATAGATCAGAGGCCCCGCCATTTTGAACTTTCTCCAATTATTCCGGAGGCGTGAATGAACCAACCCGGTAGGTTTCCGTGGAAAATGACCTGATTCCTTATCGGTACCGTGGAGCCTATCTCATACGCTACTGTGCACACACAGAGGGCCTCCATGGATCGCGCTGTCATCGGTGATCGTGTGAAAAATCGATCCCATTCGATCGAGTGGAATATTCTTGTTGTCGATTAATCGGAACTGTTATTCAGGAGTGACTCGATGCAAGTGATAGTCGTGGCCAGATCAAACTCTGTGTATTTCTGTTAAACGGAAAACATTCTTTCTTCGATTTGGGAAGATTGATATGATTCCATGGGTAGTGATAGGCGATACAGTATCGATATTTTGAATGTCTTTCAATTCAAATACCGATATTTTGTATCTCATTGACCACTTGTTCGTATGTACAGTACCGGCCAAAAGTATGGTCTGATAATTAAAGAAATATAGAAATATTATTCCAGTAAGATTGTATAAAAGACTAACGTGATAAAACTGATTGGAAATGATTAACCGATTCCGTAACTTTTAATCATATCGTAAATCGAATAATGAATTACTGGTTCCATCAGTCATGAACTTTAGTTCCATATTTTTGGCCGGCAGTTATCTCCGTAAATAACGTAAATATTTATAATAAATGGGAGACACCTTGTGTAAAAGGCACTCTCTTTTTGTCACGAATGGATCATTGATTCGTCTGTGTGAGAATCGACAGTTCAGTCGTCCGATGCGTTCACGGTCCATTGGTCTCGCTCGTTTTGCATGAAGACGTTTCAATCGCGGTTTAGATTGGCTCCATTTCCCCTCACCTTCCCCCTTCACCCCGAGCTCTAAGATCTCGTAACACCGTGAAATATTTCGATCGACCAGCAACTGTATCTTCATAAAGCCCCCAACGTAAAATCGCGAAACGATCGGGTGTGACGTTCGCCAACAGGCTTTCATGGGATCGCGAGATGGGCGAAGAATGCGGAACCATTGGCTACCGTGTTACCTACGCGGTATCAGAAGCTCGTTGGTATCAGGCACGCAACTTACTTAGACGAGATCTCCGGTAAACGTAAACAAATTAAAAAGCAGCGAAATGGAACGACACTGAAGGTGGATGATGGCGTCGTCTCTCTCTTGCGAAAGGTCAATCGATCGGCTGAGAAGGCTTGAAGCAACTCTGCCCACGACACGAAATATGTACACAGGGTGTCTTGGATATAGACTTGTCGATACTTCAACACGTTAGCTATCAACGTCATGTATATAGGGTGAGTCAATGAGAACTATCGTCTAAGATAACTCGTTACCTATTGATTGTATCAGAAAACGTTTTAATAATTAAGTAGCATTTTAAGTAGCACTTGATTTTGTTATATCTTTTTGTTTAGGTATCAAGGTGACCTTGTGCTTTTTCATGGTCAATGCATTTTTTTTTAATACCACGTTGTTGCTAATAGAAGAACGAATTCAATGACCTATAGTATAGGTCAAGGTCACTTGATATCTAACAAAATAATAAGATATAAAAAAATCAAATTATATCCATCCGATGTGTTCTTTGAAATGCTACATCATTCATTCTAACATTTTCTAATGCAATCAATAGGTGACGAATTGTTTTAGACAGTAGTTTTTATTGACACACCCTGTATGTTTGTCGAGAAAATGATAGGATGATGAACTAAATCCAAATTATTCTTACCATTATTCCAACTAAACGGGTGCTAAAGTTCATTGAAAAGAAAGGGAAATGGACACATCATTAGTTCTTTTATTTAAATAAAACGAATAAAGTTGCAGTATTAGGGACACTGGCAGTAATTTGCCCTATAGTTACGATAATGATGCAAACGGGTTAAATACGAATACAAAAGAAGTAACAGAACCTCGTTTCCCCGCTAATTGAAGACAACGAAAGGATCCCAAGGTATAAATTCGGGTTGTGCACGA